TTCTTTCTGCTCTGTGCCTTCTGCCCTGGGGGTCTGCACACTCTCCGTCGCCTCTCTCAGACCTTCTTGCTCCCAGAGCAGCCAAGGAAATGAATGTAGCATCCAGTGCCCCCCCCACCCCAGGGAGGACAGATGTCCTGTGCATTGGTGCCTCAGATGGTTAATAAACACCCGCCAAGGATGGACAGATCATGTGACCAGGAGCTGGGAGTTCATCTTGAAGTCTGACTGAAATAACTCCTGCTGCAGTCAGCCTAGGGCCCTGGGAGAGTTGCTGGGCAGGTTCTAGTCCCCTACTGCCCTCAGCCCTTGGGAAGGCTCCTGGGCCCAGAGGCTGCCTCTGGGAGCAGAGTTCTGTGACTAGAGATGCAGAAGGATGCTTGAAGTTGTTCTCTGCTCCAGGACCCTTCCAGCATTCCGTCTCTTCCTGGGCTGAGGCTGACCTCAGAGCCCAGAAGTTTCAACTGGACAGAGGCCAAGGGGCCCTGGGCTGGGGTTGGGGGAAGCCCGAGGGTGTCCTGGCTGCATCCCTGGATGTGCAGCTCATAGGGAAAGGAGAGGGAGGGGCTAGGCCACAGCAAGAGAGACGTGGGTCAGGCTGTCCACCGGGACCGCGTGAGCCGAGGCCCCTTCTGCCTGGACCGCTTGGGGCAGTGACCAGTAGATGCCCTGGGCTGGTCGGCGTGTGTAGCTTGGGGGACAGTCACCCACAGAAGTCGTGCAGATCAGTGGGGCTGGAACAAGCCAGGCAGGAACAGAGGAAACATAGGTTTGTAGCCTTCTGAGCTGCCCGTTCTAGGACCCCTGTGCCAAGCCCCCTCCTACCGCAAGCTCAGCCCAGACCCCTGGGAACTGAGGGGGCAGGGCCCCCACCCCACTGTCTCCCAGGCCCACGGCCTCCCCAGGCCGGGCTGGCTCTGGGTGGCCTTGCCATTGTTGGTCCAGCCAGGGCTGAGTGCAGGCCAGCCAGGGTCCTGTCCCACTCACTCCAGGGAGCTGAGAGGGGAGCAGTGGCCAGAGCATTTAGGGGTCCCTGATGAGAGTAGATGAGGGTAAAGTGGGCTGACCTGGTGTGAGCCCTCGGGCCCCCTGCCTCCTAGAGGTCGCCCCCCACCAGACTCTCTCCTGGCCTCACAGTGGGGCAGTTTCTGCCTCCGGAGGTGCCCTGGGTCACCATGAGCGGGACATCTCAGCCTCTTGGGTCCCTCCACTGTCAGCTCTTGCTGAGAGTCCGCTAGGCACTACTTGGGCTGGGGACACACACAGTGAGAGCCACAGTCCCTGTCCTTCTGTGGCTGACGGTCCTGACAGCCGTCTCTGGAGGTAGTGAGTTCCCCGTCCCTAGATGCTAAGCAGAAGGCACCGTGGGGAGGGTGCCGGCAGTTGGGAGTTTTCTGGCCGTGCACGTGCTCAGGGACACGGGTATGCCTCGTGGAGGCCCTGGGAGCCAACCGCATGAGGAGGTCCTGGAGCTGGCACCCAGGACTTGGGTGTCCTGGGATTTGGGGGGATTTGGCATGCAGACGGTGAGGATGGGTGTCTCCGGTGACGACATCCATGTGCATACACATTTGTGTGTGAATAACTGCACACACCGGGGGGGAATTGTGGGAAAGAGGTGAGCACTGGGCCTGTGTGTGGTCAGCGTGCAAAGGGACATGTCCCAGCATGCACAGCAGTGTGCACGCAGCACGGGAGCCAGGCTGCGCCGTGTACTTGGCCTCCTGGGGAAGGGGCTGCCTGTGGCCCCCTAGGCTGCACCCACCTGGGGCGGGGAGGGGCCTCCTCTGCCTGTGGACTGGGAACCGCTGTCTCCTTGGCTCAGAGCTCTTTGATTGAGGAGATGAACGGGGCTTGCCTCCCACCTGCACCTGGTCTCGCACGAGGTGGTGGGTACTGTCCCCCTCAGATCCCAGGAATGGGTCAGGGCTGAGCTGGGGTAGGTCCCCGAAAGCAGGGAAGCCCAAGACCGAGCAAATCTGTTTCCGCTGTGCCCACCTGGCCTGTTCTAGCCCCACTGACCCGTCCTGAGCTTCTCCACTCCCCCAGCTCTGGGCCCTGATTCACAGCACATTCGGGAGGCGACAGGTAAGGGGTCTGCCCCCAGGAGCTTTAGGTCCAAGGAGGCCCTGTGGGTGAGGATGGGCTCCCAGGAGGCCAGCTCAGTGCAAGAGGTCTCCCGCAGGAGGGAGGGCCTCTGGCCAGACCTTGGCCATTCAGAGAAGGCGGAGAAGGCCTCAAGGGGTGGGAGCCTATGCACGTGCGCACTGCCGGAGAGGAAGGCTAGGGCCAGGTGGAGCAGAGAGAGGAGGGGCCTTGTGGGGGCCTGGCTGGGGGTCATCCCAGGCCCCAGCTACTGGGCACCTGCAGGGGTGGGAAGGGGTGGGAGCGAGTGAGGAGGGGGACCTGCCGCTCTGCAGAGCCAGCCTGCGCGGTGGCTGCTGCCGCAGGAGCAGCGGTTGCCTGGCACCTCTGCTGTTGCCATGGCGACGACGGAGGTGCTAACTTGCTAATGAGTCCCCCTCGGCTGCACATAACAATACTGTAGTGGTTAATAGGGCCGAGCGCAGGGTTCCTTGGCAGGCAGGGGTTGAGACCAGGTACTGGGCCTGTGGCCGAGCTCCCACCCTTCATCCCCTGCCCTCTGCCCCTTGCCCTGCAGGCGGGCCGGCCTGTTCTGCCCCGACCCTCCCCTCTGGGTCTCGCCTCCTTGCCAGTGCTCTCGGCCCTAGCTGCCTCCCTGCCCCTCCTCCAGCCTCCACTCCCGTCTGTGGAGCGGGCACCCCTCCATGCCCCAGCTCCTCCCCGGGTAGGTTAAGGACCGGAGGGCAGTATACACACTGGGCAGCTGCTGGAGGGTGAAGGCCTCTGTCTCCAGCCCCTGCCCTTGTCCCTGCTCTGAAGTTGTTTGGCCTCTGTGGTTTTCAGGTGGGAGATAATCGGCCCCACATAATGGATGAGGACGTTGAGACGAGGGGCTCAGGGCAAGACCCTCTGGGCGACGGTGCCCCGTGCCACTGCGTCCCTCTCAGGGTCCTGGGCCTGTGAGCTGGGCTTCTGGCCCCACGTCCAAGGGTGGGAGGCTCTGTGCAGGCCTGCAGGAGCTGCGTGCGGGAGGGGACCTGGTGGCCGTGGCCTGACAGCCTTGACAAGGTTCCGCTTAGAGCTCAGGAGAAGCTTCCAAAACGGCTTGTGTGGGAATCAAATCGGGGACCTCTTAGCATGCAGGCAGATACCACCCTCAACAGGGAAGACTCCCCTCAGCAGGCAGGGACCCCCCCTTAACAGGGAGGACCCGACTCAGCAGGGGGTACCCCCTCAGCAGTCGGGGAGCCCCCCTCGGCAGGCCCTTTTGCTGTTAAACTGGCCTGGTATGGCCCTCAGGAGGGGCAGCAGCCCCGGCTGCACCCCAGCTCCTGCCCCCACAGTGGAGGAGCCCCGAGCGCCAGCCTGGGAGGGGGTGTCTGTGAATGGGACCACCAGGCTCCACCCCCTGACTTCCCTTGGTGCCAGCTCGGCCCAAGGCTGCCCACCCCAGGCGGACACCGTCCACACCTGTCTGGGGCTTCTCTTTGAGCTCCACCATCATCCCCCAGCCCGGAGCTCACCAGGGGGTGGTCCAGAAACCGTGGCGGCTGCCACTGTTGTCCCCAGTGTCCTCAGGCTGCCTCACCCCACACCCTCTGCGGCTGCAGGTTGGGGGCTTGCTGAGGGGTGCCCTTTCTGTGAGCCCTGGGGGTACCCCGTCTCCCAGCCTCCCACACCCCAAGCTGGGTGGGACGTGGTGGAGGGAAGACCCTGACTGAATGGCAGCTGCTCGGGGCCTTGGGTTCTGTCCACCTCCTTGGTGTGACCTCGGTTTGTCCCACCCGTTCCCTGAGCCTCAGTTTCCCCATCTTTAAGGCAATCTTCTCATCATGAAGCTGTGTGCCTCCTGGGGGCTGTGAGGCTTGGGTGGGCCTAGAGAAGGGCCGGTCCTGGCAGGTGACAAGGCAGATGGCGTCTGGCAGGCGGGGCGGGGGTGGCAGAGGCTTGACACCAAACCTGCAGGAGGGGCTTCCGCCCACGGCTCTGGAGTCCCTGTGTTCCCACCCACGTCCTGCTCCCTCCACGCACCCCTCAGCCCCAGGGCCCTGGGAGGCCATGCCGAGGGTCCCAGCACCCCTGAGGTCCTAGATACGGGTCACCCATGTTGACCTTCATCCTGGGGCGCCCCCACCCCACTGCATCCTAGGATCTACCAGCCCCTAGAAGGTTCCCCCTAGGCCCCAAGCCTCTGCTGTGCCTGGAGCACCCTGCTGTGTGGCCACCCACAATCTGTGAGTGTGCAACACACCCCTGCAGGAGACAGACACCGGCCCCGACACTTTGTGCAGCAGGCGTGAGCACACGATGGTGGCAAAGGAGCCCCGCTCCACTCCCGAGCCCCCTCCAGTGCCCGGCCACCCACCTCCAGGAGCCTGTCAAATTGTGGAGGCAGCCCCAACCCCCGCATCTGTCCAGTCCAGATTATCGGCTTACTGCTCGATTGGGCTGTGTGGGGTCAGAGACAGAGGGCGTGCCAGGGAGGGCAAGGGGCATGTTCAGACCCCTGCCTTGCCCGGGGTCCTGGGGATCGGGAAGATGTGGAGGTCAGAGAGCGGAGAGGGCTGCCTCTCAGGGACGGGATGACAGGAGCAGCGGGGCAGAGTGCAGTGTTCTGGAATGAGTGACGGGGGCCAGGGAAGGGACCCTCAAGCCTTGTCCTGCCTCTTCAGCCCAGCACAAGCCGAGACCCTTGCCTCCGCCTTGCCATGTCCTGCTGAGAGGCTGGCACCGTGACCTGGATGGGGCAGGGCTGGACGGGACCCTCCTGAGGCCCTTCCAGCTCCGTGGTCGCAGATTCCAGTTCGCTCACCTCAGATGTTAGGGGGCTGGACTTGCATAGAAGAGCCAGAGGGGACGTCGATTCCCTGAGGGAGGAAGGGACCCTGTGGGCGCGTCAGGCTCAAACGTCCTGGGCCCTTGGATCCCACCTCCGACCCCTCCGAGGTCCGCCCCGCCAGGGAACTGGCCCGGTGCCCACCCTGGGGGCCTGCGGCGCTGCTGACCGTCTGCCTCTCCCTGCAGGTCTGGCGCCATGCCCGGTCACTCTGAACACTAGGCCACACCCCGGGCCGTCGGAGCAGCCGCTGCTCACTTCAGGGGTCCCCCTCCCCACCGCCCACTGCCCCACCATGGCCGGGGACCGGCTCCCCCGGAAGGTGATGGATGCCAAGAAGCTGGCCAGCCTGCTGCGGGGTGGGCCCGGGGGGCCGCTGGTCATCGACAGCCGGTCCTTCGTGGAGTACAACAGCTGGCACGTGCTCAGCTCCGTGAACATCTGCTGCTCCAAACTGGTGAAGCGGCGGCTGCAGCAGGGCAAGGTGACCATTGCCGAGCTCATCCAGCCAGCCGTGCGCAGCCAGGTACCCGGCCGCCGCCACCGCACCCGTCCCTGCCTGTCCCTGGGGCTCCTGTCACCTCCAGAGTCAGGTGACCAGGGGCCCTCGCCGTGACCAGCCTCCCCTTCCTCTGCCCTCGAACCCAAACCCAAACCCCACTCCGGGGTCAGAATGTCCTGAGCCAGTCCCCACCTCGGCCTTGTAGGGCAGTTCCCACCCTTCCTCCCTGAGCTTCCCCCCAGGGAGGCCCCGGTGACACCCATCTCCCCAGACACAGTCACCACCCGGCCCTCCCCCTCCCGGAGCCTGCTGACCCTGTCGGGTCCTCTCTCAGCCCCCCAGGGAGGTCTCCCCACGCACAAGGCGGGGCTCAGAGAGGGGTACCGAAGGGGTGAGCAAGGCGTGACCGTGCACAGGGCCTGGGGGTGGGGCCGCAGGCGGCAGAGGGGCAGTGGAGGGGGAGGCAGCCGGGTCGGCACACGCTCTGATTGCTGAGGGCTCAGAAGAGGACAGGAGGGGTGACCAAGTGGCTCACTCAGAGCAGCCCCCCAGTTCTTTCCCCTCTGGAGTCTTGAGTGACCCAGAATTCTCTGTGGCCCCCCAAGAATGTCTCGAGTCACTCGCAGTGGACAATCCTGTCTCGACTCCCAGGAGCATCAAGTCCAGCCCTGGGGAGGGACTGCTGGGCCGGTGACCTGGGGAGGCAGTGGCACCTCCAGTGTGGAGGGTAGGGGGACAGGGGGCGGCCCCGAGGCCGTGGGGGGCTCTGTCACAGGCCCTGCCCCGTGTCCTGGGATGTGACAGACCCAGGTAGGACGGCTGCCTGTGGGAAGTCCCCCACCCCAAGGGCAGGACTGGCTCCCTGCAGCCTCCAATGAGGGGAATCCGGTGATTAATCGCCCCCAGCGAGGACTCCTGGCCAGAGCGCGATCCCATTGGCTGCCGGTGACATCATCGGCTGGGGCTGGAGGCTCAGCTGGCTTAAAGGCTGAGTGCTGGGGCGGGGGGGCCCCCCGCTGCTCCCGGAGCTAAAGCTGCTCCACATCTGGCCCCCAGGCGGCACTGGGGGAGGGGGCAGGTGGAACCCCAGCTGCAGAACTGGGGGCTCTTGCTGCAGCCCTCAGTTTCCCCATCGCTGGCTGGGGAGGGAAGGGGAGCCAGCACCCTGCCTTCAAAATCCCCGAGATGTGCCTCCCAGGGACCCTGAGGACGGGTGTATTTCCCTTTGTCTCGGCCGCGTCCGTGCACGCCTGTCATGTGGGCACCTGCGCGTGCGTTCTGGGGACCCTGTTACATTCGCCCGCATCTCCTCCATCCGGGCCTGGCCCACAGTGGACGCCCACACGTGTCCACTCCCTTCACTCGTGTGAGTGTGGCCTCACAGGGGACAAGTGTCCACTGTGCCTGCCTGTGCCAAGGGCCTCCCTCTGTGGCCGTGGGTGATTGTACCTGTCCAGGTGTGAGCAGGGAGGCGTGTGGCCGGTCCCTGCCCTCCCCTCGAGGCAGTGAAGTGGAAGCAGCCCCCACCCCCCCATCACCTGACCAGCAGCAGTGGGCGGCAGCAGGGGACGGGGCGTCCGGCAGGTGGCCGGCAGTACCCTGACCTCTGCCCTCATGGCCCCCAGGTGGAGGCCACAGAGCCACAGGACGTGGTGGTCTATGACCAGAGCACCAGGGACGCCAGCGTGCTGGCCGCAGACAGCTTCCTCTCCATCCTGCTCAGTAAGCTGGACGGCTGCTTCGACAGCGTGGCCATCCTCACAGGTGAGTTGGACGGCCTGAGGCCGGGGCTGCGGGGCACCCTCTCCCGCACTGTCAGCTTGGACAGGGCTGGGGGCGCGTCTGAGGAGTCTGGATTCTGGACCCACCTCTGCTTTCGTCTCTAAGTCTGGAGACCAGGGTCTGCTGGGGTGCTGGGGGGGGGTCGCAGAGCTCTGGAGTTCCCAGGGGTCAGCACTCCCCTGGGCCCCCACCCTTCAGGACCCCCTCCAACACGGGCCCGCCCCCTCCACTAGCAGGTGAAGAGGTGGACAGGGGACACCCCAGCATTTGCCTGTGGGGGTGGGGGAGGGATCTAGGCAAAGATGTGGCTCTGCCCTGGGAACTGCTCCCACCCCACTGCCCCAGCTCCCTGTCCACCCCACCCTCGGGAACCCCCATCTGAGCCGGAAGCCGTCCCTCACTGGGAGGTCCCCTGGTGCTCCAGCTGAACACAGGTGGCCTTGTGCCAGACTGCTTGGTGGTGACCGCTGCCCGGGGGCCAGCAGAGGTCCCTGCAGGGCTTCCCATTCCCCAAAAGCAGCCTGGCCTGCCCCCATACACGCGCGCTCTCGCACACACAGGCACGTGCACGCACACAGGGGGCACTGTGGTTCCCGCTGATTCTCTCAGGAGGCAGTGGCTGACGCCCTTCTGGAGAATCCACCTCCTGGAGGTGGCTGAGTCCCAGGGATGTGCACCCTACCCGCCAGGGTTTGGGGCCTTTGTGGGTGCTCCTGCCCCTGGCCTCTGCGTGCCTGGGGCTGTGGCTGGTGGGTGGAGGGTGTGGAGGGCTGAAGACCGTGCCACCTGCACCGTCACAGCCGACGGGACGCCCCCAGGTTCATTCCGTGTGCCTGCCCTGAGCAGTTACTGTGCACAGGCACGAGTGGGGTGGTCGATGGGCACCAGGCTGCCCCATGGCGCTGGCATCCCGTGGGAGCACAGACCGTCAGCCCAGCCTGTGAGAGAGGCTGCGGGCAGGGCTCTGTCTTAGTCAGGCTGCTGGGGCCGACCTCTCGGAGGAAGCACCACAGGGTCCCTGCCCTGGAGAGCGTTCAGGAGGCTTGGTGGTGGGTCAGCACTGTGTGCGGTGTGCCTGCCACCTCTGCACATGTGTCTGGGTGCCAGCCGAGCGCTCTGCACATCTGGGTCTGCGAGGCCCGAGGGTCTGTGTCAGTGCGTGGCTCTGGGAGTCTGGTGGTCAGATCTGCCCGTGTGTGTGTGTGTGTGTCCCACTTCAGGTGGTCCTGCACTTGTCTGGGTGGGGTGTGGGATTTCTGTGCATATGTGTGAGCTCTGGGAACCAGAAGCCACAGAGTTGCAGACTCTCGGTTCAACCACTGCTCCCTGGGTTGAGTTTGGGGCCCGAGCGGCTGGGGACAAGACAGAAGATCCAGGCTTTTTCAGGTGTCCTGGGCAGAACAGGAACCTTCCCGGGGCCCGGCTGGGAACCCTAGCGTGTGTGTGTGTGTGTGTGTGTGTGTGTGTATGTGTGTGTACGTGCACCCTAGCCAGGAGTGGGAACCACCAGGCCCTCCTGGGAGTCTGAGAAGAGGGTTCCAGAGCAGCGCCCTCCCCACTCCCAGGCTGCCCAGGAAATCCCGGAGCCTCTGATAGTCTGTCTCCCTGGGAGTCTGGGTCCCTACCCAGCACTTGGTGGGCCGGGCCTGGGCTAGGATCCACCAGGAGGACACACCTGAGACCTGGCTGTGCCCCACCTGGCTCGCTGACCTCTCCGAGCTGCCCCATCCTGCAAGGTTAGAGTATTTGCCCTGTTTCTCTGAGGGCCAAGTCTCGAAGAAGTCATGACCCCAGTGGTATGAGGAGGGTTTATAGTGACACCAAATCAGGACCCAGACTTGGAGACAGCCCCTGGCCTTGCCCACAGCCCCTGAACCAGTTAGAACAGGAAGGTGAGGCTGAGAGGGGGAGGGGGATGCTGCCCACCCAGAAGGGGGAAGTGACTTTCTGGAGGGGGCTCAGCAGCTGCCAGAAGGCGAGGGCTGACCCCTTCGTGGGTGGGGCTGAGGAGCTGGGAGATAAGGATGGCACAGCGGAGGGAAGGGCGACCCCTCTCCATGACAGGGGGGGTTTGCGGGAAGCAGAAGAGGGTGGTGGGCACAGGGCGCTGGGGTCTGAGACTGGCTGCTGTGACCACTCCCCCCAAGCTGCGGGCTGGTGACGTCTGGCTGGGGCGGGGATGGGAAAGGGAGCCTGGCCCTTTAAGTGGCGGGCAGACCTCGCCAGGGAGCCGCTGCCGCCCGGTACATCTACGGAATGCGGGCTGGTGATGTTGCTGCTGCGTCGGGAAGGGTGCGCCCCCAGGGACCCCACAGCCCAGTCCCACACGAGTGCCGCCCTCGGACCCTGGCTAGAGACCACAGCGGGGGCTGCCCCCGTATGCAGGGTGGGTGGGGACCCTGCTGGGGCTCGGGGACCCAGAGGGGCAGTGGGGGCTGTGGGGTGTGTGACCGCGGCCGGCAGGCGGGTGGGGGCCAGACCGGGTGCCCGTGGGGTCGGTGCCCGACAGGGGCACGTGCTTTGTGAGTCGGGGATTCCACTGTGAGGGGTGCAAGCTGCGTGTGCCCTCCCTCACCCTCCCTGACCCGTGAGACAGAGGGAGCGGGGTGGGGGGGGGCTGTCCCTCCTGATGAAAGGTGCCCTTGGGGATGTCCAGGGGATGGGGGTGGCGCCCCAGGACCTACTGCTGCCACTATTCCCTCCCGGATGCCCCTCCCTTGCCACCCCTCCCCAGAGCCTGGGGCAGCCCTGAAACCACTGAAGGATGGAGCCTCGGGCCCTGCCGGACCTGGCATCTACAAGGGGTCGTAGGGGGCACCCCAAGCCGCCCGGCTCTGCCTGGGGGGGTCCTGGTGGGCCTTACCTGAGGAATTGCAGCAAAGGCTGCCCAGAGACTGTCCTCTGGGGGGAGGTTCCTGTGGATTCCCCCCACGCCTACCCTCTGCTGTGGCCCGGCCAGAGAAAGAGAGATGGGGAGGGTGTTTGGAGGGGTGGTGTGGCGCCTGCGAGCCGAGGCGTCTCCCTGTCCCACCAGCAGGTTCCCGAGGACGGGACCCCTTCTCCTCCACTCCTCCAGCCTGGAGGTCCCCCATCGCCAGGTCCCCCAAAGTCAAGCCTTCACTGGGGGCACAGGGACGCACATGCAGGCATTCAGGGGGTTCATACAAACTGGCCACTGAGCTGGGCCAGGGGTGAGGCTGAGGCCACCAGGAGTCCCTGTCCTCGGGAATCAGCCAGGTCTCTGGCACCATCTGCTTCTGAGGACCAGGGCAGGAAAGAGCAGTGGGGGTCCTGGGCCTGAGACCTGGCCTCCTCCAGGGGGATAGGACAGGCCTTGGCTCAGTTGTCTCGTGCGATGGACAGGTCCACTGAGCTAGAAACAGCAGCGCACTGGGCTTGGGTCCCCAGAAGTGTGGTCAGCCCCAGGACACTGCCGGGCAGCCTCACCTCACCCTACCAGGAGCGGGTGGCCACCAGGCGCCCAGTGCAGGTCCAAGTCAGTGGTCCCCCAGCCAGACCGGGTGTGGGCAGGTCCGTTCTCAGTGTGTCTTCTTGGTTGTTTTCTGTGAGCCTCACAGCAGTGCCATGTGGCAGGCAGGACAGGGAAACCGAGGCTGGAGGCGTGATGAGCCTTTGGTCACTCACTGAGTCACATGTACCAGGGGACCCACTCTGGTCCTTCCAGTGGCAGAGGGGCTCCTTCCACCGACCCGCGCCCAGGGCTCAGATGTGCAGGGAAGGCGGCAGGGCACCTGCCAGCCACGTGTAGAGCGCGTGCCCGCTGTGCACGCTGCGTGCTCCCTGTCCCCACTGTCCCCAGCTCCCAGCCCAGCCTTTGCTTCTCCGTCTGCTGAGTGGAATGGAGCCCTAACAGGAGCGCAGATGCCCCTGCAGGCTGTGCCAATTCCAGTGGTGATGTCATGCCTGGGGGCGGGGGAGGGGCCTACAGAAGCCCTTGCCTCCCGGTCCTGGCGCCCAAGCCTGGCCTGGGGCTCCCAGCCAACCGCAGGCAGGGAGGGGTTGCATCGGCCCAGGGGGAGAGGCGCGAAGGCCCCGCCTGGCCCCAGGCCATGAGTATGGAGGGGCTGGTGATCCAGACACTCAACAGGAAGACCCCCGTGGCCCCTGAGCCTGCCCCTGCCTGGGCCCTTCGGGTGTTGCACTGGCCAGCCCCCCTGACCCAACATTTACGGGCATCACAGCAGCGTCCTCAGCGGGGCCGGCCCCTAATTATCGTGGGGAGGAATGTGGGCGTAGGGGCAGGCTGTAGATGTGCACAGCACGCACCCCGCCGTGGCCACAGCAGCTCTCCAGCACCCAGCACTGAGACCAGGTGCTCAGGCCAGAGGCTTGCCAGCCGGTGTGGGATCGCTGGGGCTCCAGCGGGTGTGGCCGAGACGTAGTGGTGGTGGGGTGCCCTGGGCGCTCTTTCCTGCCCCACTGGCCCGCCCGCCTGACGTGGTCTCCTCTGCTCCTCCTGCAGGGGGCTTCGCCACCTTCTCGTCCTGCTTCCCTGGCCTCTGTGAGGGCAAGCCTGCTACCCTGCTGCCCATGAGCCTCTCCCAGCCCTGCCTGCCCGTGCCCAGTGTGGGCCTCACCCGCATCCTGCCTCACCTCTACCTGGGCTCTCAGAAGGACGTCCTGAACAAGGTGTGCACAGCCGGGGCTCCGAGGGGGGCGGAGGCAGGGGCTCCGAGGCTCCTGGGCTGGTCTGGGGGCAGGCGGGACCTGAAGGCGCATGGGCTAGAGGAGCAGGCATGTGGGAGAGGCTTGCGTTGGAGGCACAGGAGGACCCAAGGGGGCCCCGCAGGACAGGGCAGGGCTCGGGGAAGGGCCCAGCAGGGCTGGGTGGAGCAGCAGCTCCCTGCCTCTCCGGTGGTGGAGCCCACATGCCACACTGCTGATGTCACTGGGCCCCTGGCCAGCGCTGAAAGAATCCCGTGTTTTAAAAATGGTGATGAGGGAAGAGGGTATAGGCACCGCCCTGGCGGCCGCGAAATTCCTGGGAGCCTCCCTCGGGCTGTGGGCGGGGCTCGAGGAGGCACCAGCATCCCTCCCCCCAGCACCGGAGGCCCACGGGCCCTCTGGTGGGAGCGGGAGGGGGCTCCTGGGCCGAGGCCTCCCACCTGGACTGAAGGTCCTCCCCAGCTGCCCCCCCTGCCAGCCCGTCCTCCCGTCCCTCCAGGATCTGATGACCCAAAACGGAATAAGCTACGTTCTCAACGCCAGCAACTCCTGCCCCAAGCCGGACTTCATCTGTGAGAGCCGCTTCATGCGCATTCCCATCAACGACAACTACTGTGAAAAGCTGCTGCCCTGGCTGGACAAGTCCATCGAGTTCATCGGTGAGGGGAGGGCGCCCTCCTGCCCCGTTCCTGGGGAGGGGCGGGGTCCTCAAGAGAAGAGGGCCTGGAGGAGGCAGGGGAGACGCTGCCGTCACAGGTGCTCAGGCCTGAGAAGTAGCTGGGGTTGTTGGTGGTCGGGAGGGTGGGGTCCTGACCTGGGGTAGGGGAGGACTATGCGGTCTCAGCCCTCACCTGGCCCCGCTGGCCCCTTGCCCCCAGATAAAGCCAAGCTGTCCAGCTGCCAAGTCATCGTCCACTGTCTGGCTGGCATCTCCCGCTCTGCCACCATCGCCATCGCTTACATCATGAAGACCATGGGCATGTCCTCAGACGACGCCTACAGGTAGCCCCCCTTCCCCTGGGCCCAGCAGCCTGTGGCTGGACACAGCCTCACCCCCCCGCCCCTCCCCACGCACTAGCATTGGGTCAGGGCCTCCTAATTTGGGCTGCCCTGTGGGGGAGGGGGAGGCATGAGCCCAGGCCCCGCCCACTGGGGGTCTGCACGTCAGCGTGTGTGTGCCCAAGAACGGGCAGAGGGTGCGCGGGAGAGTGAGGCGGGCAGCCTGGCTCGAGGAAGCCCTGTCCGATCCCGCCGCCTTTCCCCCAGGTTCGTGAAGGACCGGCGCCCGTCCATTTCGCCCAACTTCAACTTCCTGGGCCAGCTGCTGGAGTATGAGCGCAGCCTGAAGCTGCTGGCGGCCCTGCAGGGCGACGGGGCGCCCCACCCCGGGACACCGGAGCCCCTCCCGGGCCCCGCGGCCCCCCTGCCGCCACTGCCACCACCTACCTCAGAGAGCGCTGCCACCGGGAGTGCCGCGGCCGGCCCAGCCAGGGAGGGCACGCCCAGCGCCGGGGAACCCCCCACGCCCCCTGCCGCCCCGGCCACCAGCGCACTGCAGCAGGGCCTGCGCGGCCTGCACCTCTCCTCTGACCGCCTCCAGGACACCAACCGCCTCAAGCGCTCCTTCTCGCTGGACATCAAGTCGGCCTACACCCCGAGCCGGCGGCCCGACGACCCCGGGCCCCCCGACCCCGGCGAGGCCCCCAAGCTCTGCAAGCTGGACAGCCCGTCGGCGGGCGCGCTGGGCCTGCCCTCGCC